TAAATGATTTAGGATTATGACAAAGGAATAGACAAATCATTTGAATGGTCAAATGACCAGGTCATTTCCGAACACTGTTTTAGAAAGTATTGCAATATATTGTTAGTCTGGAAAATTAGTGAAGGACTATATATGTCTACGCACTGTATCCCGTTGTCCTCCCGCTCCTCATATTATAAGACATTACACTACGTTTCTAAATTAAGTAAATATCCATCCCGATAAAAGTCATATCTAATATCTAAAATAAAAAGTCAAAATTTTTCAAAAAGAAACAAAAATTTTATTTATTACAATTTTTTGTGTTCTTTCTTTTATCATCTCTTATATACATTTTCTAACTAATTAATCAAAATTAAATAAAGAACGAATTGATACAAAGAAAATTAACACAATCATCACTTATACAATATTTTTGGAGTTTGAAAAAGGATCTAATATTCATTAAGAAATACTTTATTGTTCTTTATTGTTTCGAAACATTCAATTTACATGCAGTAACTATCTAAAAATTGAGCTGCAGTCATGTTTTTGTTTCATTATAACTATAGCGCTATAAACACAGTTTTCTTTGTTCCGTAGCCAGAATTAGGACGGATTTACTTAATTTAGAAATCTGCGATTGATCATTTTTTAATTCCGTCATGATCACGTTAAGTAGTTAAGTAATACTAAATTAGGTATTTTCAAAAAATTTTCAACCACCTGCTATCTTATACCAATTTTAATATTTAATTACTTAATAATTTATTTACAAAGTATATATAAGCATCTTATAAAGTCTCAAACTTTTTTATTAAAATTATTAAATAAATATTTGTCACTATCCTTCTTTCTATAATTTTTACTAAATTCGATTTTTTGTAAGATAACTAACAATTTTTTCTGTGAGTTTTGGCAGTTTCATAGGAAATATTTTTTTTTACCTTATGTGCAGTGCATTAGTTTTGGCATAATCTTAACTTTGTCATACATATTTGTCTAATTTGTCAGATCGGTCAGATCGGTCAGATCGGTCAAGATTAGCTATAGTAGATCGGCGCAGCATGGATAACGCCTTCAATGTTCAGAAACAATAGAAATTGTCCTATTTATTTATTCTTTATTTTGTAAATAAAAAGATTTAGATAGGGGACGAAGTCCCAAACTATTCGCAATTTCTAGTTAAATAAATGTATCAATGTATATTTTTCCTACTATTAAGGGATTTTACCTTATTAATTCATTTTTTTTTTAACAATTTAAAATAAAATTTGGTGTCAAAGATTGCTTAATTTATTAATATATTTTATTGAACGTTACTATTTCGGAATAATTTTAGGAGCCATTCATAGCATACAGCTTGTGTACAGAAATGTTGTTCAAGCAATATGACCAAAAATCTATTATTATTTGCGAGTTTCGTATATAACATCAAATCACAAATACCACAACGTATTTATAAAATAAAATACAGTATACATTAAGGTGGGAAGAAAATCGAAATTTCGTTATTTGCTAAATTATTAGGAATAAAAATTTGGAGAAAAAGTACTAGTCGGATATTTTGAATAAAAGTTTCAAGTTTCAGGAATACTTTATAAATAAATATTTTCATTGCATATAATTATTTGAATAATCACCAAATTTTTAGAAGTCTGAAATCATATTTAAAAATTATAAAATAATTAACAATATCATTTCAATCAATTAATTCAATACGCCACTAGAAAAACATTATAAAAATTTCATTTAGCGGTTAGTTCCAATTAAAAATATAATGTGTCTATCTAAACTGTATGTTACCTTATTATTTTCGTCATTCCCATTTCCATGACAAGAAACTTCTTGGGTTCCATCTCCAAACAATATGGAATGACTATAAAGTGCTGGCTTATTGGTTGTAATATGAAAAAGACAGATTATATCACCATTCATCAAAAACTCCGGGTGATCTTTAGAAGATTTTGTATTATAACGTTGAATTAGAAAATCATCGTCGCAACTTATACCAGGATTGACGGTCACTAAATAATATATATTGTAAGTTACTTATATAAAAGATTATTTTTATATTCTTATATGCAAAAGATTACATAGAAAAAATCCAAACGATACCTTGTTGCTGCTTTGATATCGGTGTGATTTTCCCATCATTTATATCATGAGAATGTAAATTTCCTCCTGTCGCTTGATGGTTAAATCCAATATTTGTATTAAAAGGCACGGGGCTTCCTGCAATTACACTTGTACCATAGGGTCCAATAACAGTCCAAACATCATTATTCAAATCCATTTCCTGACCATTACCAACAACCTTTGTAAATTATGTAAATTAATCTAAATAATAATATTGGTTGACTTTGTCATATTTGATTCCTTTAGTAGACAAATATTCATTAGTGGATACATGAACAAGGGCAATCTTCGAACCATATAAAATTAGTTTGTTCTGAAATCAATTATTTAAATAAAAGTTGTCAGAGGGAGATGTCTTAAGGTTCATGATGCCAATGAAATACAAATGTATCTTACAAAAAAATCTTCCTTCACTTCTTGGGCACATAATCGCCAATTGAAATAGCGAACATTTCTATTTGATAGAATGATCATTAAATATTTTTGTGAAATTGATTATCTTTATTATCATGACAAGACATACCTAATTTCTCCAATGAACCCATAGTGGGTATTTTCGCTTAAAGCACGTCCGATATATAGTGGTCCGTCATTGAATACAACTTTTTCCGATCTAACATCCTGAATACCATAGAATCCGGCCCATTCAGCGTCAATATAGATGTCTAATCTCTTTTCAGAATCAGAAAGAGTATAAGCTAGATAATACCATCTACCCAACAAAAGTCCATCGCCGAGCTCATTAATTCCTAAGTTATTATCCAATTTGCCTGTGAAACGAGCATGCAATGAGGATTTTGTTGGTTTCAACTCGAGCCTAGGTGTGCGGATTAAACCTTTGGAACCTATATTGTGTATTTATTTGAGACCAAGAAAACAAGATTCTAAGAAAAAAATTTGTCCTACCTTTGTGAAATACAACAGCCCAATGGGAAGTATGACTCTGAAGTTTTATTCGTAATGTCACGGAAAGTTCATCTTTCACCACAGGCAAGTTAACATGTTCAAAGACTGATTGAGAATTTTCATTAAAGGTAATTGGGTCTGAAATAAGCTCTGCCCATTCCTTCTTCATTTTTGAGGAGACAACTTATCAATTGAATATATTAATAACGCATTTATTTCACTAGTTAAATTAAAGTCACCCCACCATGAAATTGTCAATAAATAAAATTAAAAAAATTTGCAATCCTTAAACTGTAACGCCTGATATTTACCCATATTAAGTAGAGGTTGATGTTCCACCATTGGGCCATGTGACTTATATAGTAATCTGTCACACAATCATGATTTTTATCACAGACGACACTACTTTTGTTAGGGTTAGGTAATTTAAGGTTGGTTCATTACATATCATAATTAGTCACATTACCAGATGCTGGGGAAGTTTGTTATTAAGAAAAATGAATTATTGACTCTTTTTCTGAGGCAATCCATACTGAGGATATCCTTTATTTGAGACTCAATAACTCCGGGAAGATAAAAAAAAAACTGCTGAATTGCAATAGAATAGTAACTAAGTATAGTTTCAGTTATACTTAACATTAAACAAATAACAAAAAATGTTATTTATCAATTTATATTTAACGTTAATGTTGACGTTTAAATTGACAAAATATTTTAAAAAGATAATTTAAAACGTAAATCTTTTATAAACGAACGATCCAATAGTGTTGTTAGTAATAGTCTAGTTATGACGCATTAGTACTGCGCCAATTACAATTAGCGAATGATGATCCCGTCGATCATGGATCTCAAC